ATGTTGTGTCGCCCTCAAACATGATGGGTGGTATAAATGAGCATATTTTACGCAACAAGAAGAGTATAGCGATCCACAATGTTCCTCGGCTTGACCTTTCTGGAGGGGTTGATATTGAAGAGGACGATTTGAATGAAATTGCTACTCGTTCGAGTAGCGGTTGGAGGATTCCCGAAGCCAATTTTTACAACGTTGATGTTCATCCTTCGTCTGAAGAGCCGTCAATGATATATCATGAATTAGCCAAAGGCGTTGTCATTGAAAGTAAGGAAGAATTGTTGGTAAAAGTGGGTTTATACCATTTGAAGCATAAAGTGGAGTTCCGAACACCGAGATCTTCAAATTCTCGGTTAAAGGTTGTGTGCAAGCATAAAAAATGCCCATTCTTGCTTTCTGCGAATGCACTGACTGGAGGTAGTTGGAAAATTTCAAAATTTATCCATCCACATACATGCTCAGTTAACCTAAATCATTCAGCCCCTCGACAATTGCCTGCAAAGATCATTGGAGCATTATTCGCGCCGAAGTTGTGAACAGAGGGCCGAGTATTAAAGCCTGCGGAGATTATGGGTGACATGGAGCGTGATCATGGCATTAAGCTAAAATATGATACAGCTCTGAGGTCTCAAAACGCCGCCTACGACTTCATTTATGGAGATCATAAGAAATCCTGGGAACTTTTGCCGGCGTACTTTCATATGTCGATGAAGGAAAATCCTGGAACATCGGCATACATTAAGACTGATAAAGATGACGTGTTTGAGTATGCTTTCATTTCTTTTAACGCGTCTGCAGGCTTCCTCAGTTATTGTCGGCCTGTTATTGTGATTGACGGTATGCATTTGAAGGGTAAGTATAAAGGCATCTTATTTGTAGCAACTACAAAGGACGGAAATGAACAAATTTTCCCTTTGGCATTTGGTATCGGCGATAAGGAATGTCATAGTGCGTGGATGTGGTTTCTCCAAAAGCTTCGCTCCACTTTCGGATGTCCGGAAAATTTAGTAATTGTTTCTGATCGCCACCCGAGCATAAAGTCTGCTATGGAGGTTGTCTACCCTGAAGCCGTACATGCCATATGTTCCTACCACCTTCGACAAAATATTCGAAGTCACGGGTCTAAAGTTGTTGGTTTATATATGAAAGCTTCGTACACTTATTCTTTTGTTGTGTACGAGAAGTCGATGGCCATGCTTGCGGCAAAATATCCTAACACAAAAAAAGTTGTGGTTGATGAAGCCATTCCAACAAGGTGGGTACGAAGTCAATGTCCTGTTAGACGATATAGTTTCATGACGTCAAATGCTTGTGAGGTGCTTAACAATAGGTTGCGTTGGGCAAGGAAATTGCCTGTTTGCTCATTATTTGAATGTATTCGAAACATTATGCAAGAGTGGTTTCACAAAAGACGTGTCGAGACAGAAAAGACTGAGTGTGAAGTTCCTCCATCAATATCTAAGCGTTTAATGGATTATAAAACTGCAGCAGACCAAATGGAAGCTTCAAATATCAATCACTACATTTACCACGTGAAGGACGGGGTCAAGAATTTTGTTGTCAATTTGAATGATCGGACATGCACTTGTTATCTCTTTCAGGTGGATTTATTGCCCTATTCACACGCGATTAAGGCTATCGGGTAATTTTTTCATCCTTTTTTTTTATTTTTCTATTAGAAGCCGCAACGTTTACGTACATATTGTTATATTGTGTTCCTTTAATTTGTTTTCTATGCATGTACCATTTTTAGGAAGGCAAACGAATCGGTGTATGGATATGTGCACGACTACTACAAGACCACAACATGCCGCAAACTTTACGAGCCCATAATCATGCCAATTGCGCATCCAAGTACTTGGGACTTAACTACATCACCTAGTTTGATGGTTGTCAAATGCCCTATTAATCCCAAGCAAGCCGGAAGACCGAGGTCAAACCGCATACCTTCTACTGGCCCTTCTTCGAGCTCTCGAAGTAAATCATTTTGTACACGATGCCACAAAAGTGGGCATTACTCTACAACTTGTGTTGCCTTAGTCCAAAATGTTGAGCAACCAATTCAATCTGGACGTCCCGCTACCAAAGTTCGTTTGTGTGGTAAATGTAAGCAACCTGGCCACCGTAGGAACAAGTGTCCTCAATACATTACCTAGTTTATATGCTTTTTTTTCCATTTATATGTTGTTTTTTATAGATCGTAAATGAATGTTTTGTTTGTGGGAAGACATAATTGGGTTGTAATTTGTATGATTGATTTGTGTGTGGTTAATGTAATAACTTTGTGGGACATATTGATGTGTGTAGTTTTGTTATGTTTGTAGTAGTTATTTTTAAGATGATTGAAAATTGAAGTGAAGTGTGTGAAGTCCCTAAAATTTTCAATGAATAAAATTAAGGAAAAAAAATTAGTGGTCGCGGCCGCGGGGTGTTTCATAGCCGCGGCCGCGGCGAGTATTTTTGGTGTCCCAAATTTCAAGTTCAGCGCAAAATATATCACGGCCTCGGATGTGTCGCGCGGCCGCGGACGGTGGTCGCGGCCGCGGAGAAGTTCTTGGTCGCGGCCACGGCGATGAATACCTTCACAGATTTTGGGTGATTGCTCAAGAAACCAGTTTCTTGGCAAGAAACCAGTTTATTGGCAAGAAACCAGATTTTCGTTTCAAGAAACCAGATTTTCGTTTCAAGAAACCAGTATCTTGGCAAGAAACCAGTTTCTTGGCAAGAAACCAGATTTTCGTTTCAAGAAACCAGTTTCTTGGCAAGAAACCAGTTTCTTGGCAAGAAACCAGATTTTCGTTCAAGAAACCAGTTTCTTGGCAAGAAACCAGTTTCTGAGCAAGAAACCAGTATCTTGGCAAGAAACCAGTTTCTTGCCAAGAAACCAGATTTTCGTTCAAGAAACTAGTTTCTTGGCAAGAAACTTACGATTAATACAAAAGTTCAAAGTCAAAATCCTAGTGCAAAACGAATCCGAAAATAACAATCTGAAAAATATGTTCTGGAGTTCAAAAGTGCGAACAACATTCATAAACCAGAATAGAACATAATGAAAACGTGCGAACAACATTCAAAGCACAGTGAAACGTCACTGT